AGCATTTTTCTGAAAAAAGAAGTAGAGGATATTTCTTCACAACTTTGTTTAGAATACGCCTTTACATACAGAAAAGCAAACACATTTATAAAGATCTGAAAACTACATGGAAAATGGTAACATAAAAACCATTTTTGGTATGTTTTTAATAACCGCAAAATCGTTGCAACAGCACTTTTAGCGTCTCTGACAGACTTCCTCTGTTTCAGCTAAAATACAGTCTAAATATCTTTTGCTCACGACCAGAAACTAATCACGTGCTGAATAGGCTTGCCACTTCCACTTCATAACATAAAATATAGGGGTAACCACGCGTTTTTTAAAGTTATTGATCCTTTTTTAAACTTTTTACGGTGCCTGTTACATTTTTTCCTGTCACCTCCCCAGTAAGTAAAACATTTGCGTATCTCGCACTTGTTTTGCGCGCGCACTACGCCATCTGCAGGTACACGTTTACAGTTGGATTTCAGTATAATTTTCGACAGATAACAGCTAGTTTTTCAGCTGGAAGACGTTAACAGTTAGTGGTAAGCGATATGCTGCTGTTCTGGTGTTCCTGGTTTAAGTACAGGTTCATTAAACTTGATTTGGTCACAGTAGGAAAATTTTGCTTTCAATTTAGTCGTGTACTTGGTAGCGTAGTTGATTGCGTCATGTCAACCCAGCGCGCGCGTGGCGCTTAAACCATGCCTTGCGTGATGCGCAGAACGTGTGCGCACTAACAAAAGTAGGCACCGTCCTTAAGGTCATTCCCCAGTATTACATTGCGCATCCTTACTGCGCATAATTTCACGCGTGATTAGAGCGCGCGCATTAAAAAATGGCGGCTTTTTGTTTACAACTGGACCTCGCCATAGAGGTAAATCGTCATTTTCTCGCAAACGAGTATGGTGACCTATCATTTTTTTCTGTTGTTTTGAATTGAGTAATAAATTTCKCTGTGTAAAATAAATATGGACCAATTCTCAGTGTAGAACAAAAAGCAATCGTCGGAAACGTGAATTTAGCAAGCAATCGTGACTACAATCATGGTGCTATTATAAGGATTTATATGTGTATAAACAAGGTGCTTTTGCTCCTAAACGAACACGGGGACCCCTCATTTCAAAATTTAAGTTCCTATAATATAAACAAGCAATAGGCAAAGTTTCACAAAAATCTCAGTGCAGCTTCTATTTCAGTTGAATGACCTTAACGTAAATTGACCAAATTCTGCGTTGTTTAGAGAACGTGAACCACGACGGCAAAGTTTTGGTATTCTATTTGGAATTGAACGCATCCGTAGCATATTCAGCAGAGGCAAGTTTTAGTACCGACAAACACACTGAATAGATCTAAAAGATAAATGAGAAATTCCAAAGTAAAATAGAAACACATTTTTACTAGGCGTCGTCCTCGCCGTCGCCGTCGTATTTGCGTAAGGTCCCTATTGTTTTGGCCTCGCCGTCCTGGTTTGCTTAATTACGCCCGGGCCCTACTTTTTTAAAATAAAGATGAAGACCCACGCATTGGGTGCAGGCCAATTTATTAAGTTCATCTTAACTAGTAAAAGGAGTGAAACATCGAATGAATCATCTGAACTGCAATTTGAAATACAAATGAAGTGAAGATCGGATTAAGCTCGAGATTCTAAAGATCTTGTTGCTCTTTAGAGCACCTTTGGGGGGAATTTGATTCTTGTGTGTGTGTATTGCTTTAATTCATAGATTATGTGAAAGAGTTCTTAATTTCAGTAAATTATTTCACCCGCTATACTTTTTTTGTAAGTTGTGACATTTTAATTTAAGATTTTTTATTGCTTTCTTTCTCAGTGATTAAATAAAGGTTTACAAAAACAAAAAAAACACCAGGTTTTGGTTGAACAAAGTCGTTATACCCTAGAGCATACGGGACACTGCCAAGTACACGAATATTTAAAGTAAAGAAGACCGAATGAACTTAACTGAAGTGAACAGAAAAAATCAAAACTCGAAATGAAGGTCCGAGCCAAGTCCGTCAAGAATTCTCAAGTATGTCTTCCGTGGGAACCTGTGTTCGAAAACGAAGTTAGTTAAAATGATTACCAACAAAAAGTGCGGACTGACCTTGACCGTGAAAACCCTTAGATAACAAACCCATCTTCATGTTGACAGTCACAAACTGTCACATTGAAATCAACTTAAGCAGTTGAAAATAAGGCCTGAAAAACATAACACTAAACTTAACTTTAATCTTTCCGTTGTATGACTTAAATTGGGCGAAAAACCTGAGAACAAGCAGATTGACATTAATTTACCCTCTTTGTTTTCGACTTTTAGCCAACTGCAGCGAATGGTTACCTGTAAATGTTACGGATGTATGGTTGTCCTGTGGTGCCCAACGTAATACAACTAGAGTTTGGCGATGCAATAAAACGTCACACGAAAGACTGCTTCTTCTTGTTAATTGTACAGAAGCCAACGGTACAGGTAAGTTGAGTATAACGGAGTCTTTTGGAAAATGAGCGGTTAGTTAGATGCCGTAAACTGCCGGGACATGGTCAAAGTAGTTGAGACGCTTAGAAAAAACGCTTAACAATAGCTAACCCTTTATTTATTTTGTTTCAAAAGTATCAAGTTATAATTCTCTGGTTCCACCGGCCCATCATACAATAGACCTTTTCGCGGTTTCTGACGTGATCTTGTGGGTTTTTTTTTTGNGGGGGGGGACCAACACAGCAAAAATTACAGAAAATGTTGGGGGGAAATGACGAATGCAATGTTTAACAACTCACGGAAAATTCGAGTTCTAAAGCATTTATGAATTACAAACTAAATATACCAGGAAGAAAAATTTACTGATCACATTTGAAAGAAATAGCCTCTTTTGAAATGCCACAATTTAAGTTTTCACCGGATCGCAATTCGCGGGAAAATTTAAAGGCATTTGTATGAAAAATTATAAGTGCAATTCCTCGCCCTACAGAAAAACCTTTGTTCTTCAAATTTGATCAAAATAGCCTTCTGCTGGGTATCTTTTTGCCTGCGAACGCAGACGTATTTCCGGCTGACACTTGGTTCTGCCGAAAAATAACGTCTGCGAACCCGAGCCAGAAAACGNGGCTCGGGTTCGCAGACGTTATTTTTCGGCGGAATCAAGTGACAGCCGGAAATACGTCTGCGTTCGCAGGTTAGGTATCTTTTTCTTGCATGTCATAAAATACTCGAAAGTCAATCACTCTCAACTTATTGGGCATCGAACTTTTAACTCTTCCCATACATTTAATGCAATTTTTTAAAAGTTCGATTCAAATTGAGATTTCTGCACTAATATTGTTTAAATCTTAAAAAAACGGTATCGTGTCTGGTAGCTTCAGTAAATTTGAGCCAACGTTTTCTATATATTCCAAGTTGTCTTATCGTGGGATTCACCAGTTTTAGCACCAAAGGGACAATTTTTTGCTAAATCGTTTTGTCGCTGTCCAGGTAGTTATGAACACTCCGCTGCCTGGGCTTAGTGGCCACGCTTCCCTCTTCACACGTTATGTAACAGACAACGGACTGACCCTTACATATGCAAAATTTGTACAAAGAAGTGCATGCTTGTGATTTTCCAAAGCTATGGACTCAAGAAGTTAAAGCAAAACATTCTGAAAAAAAAATGTGGCAGGTATTTTTAGCTACCAGTTGCGACCTGTTGTTTTTCTTTCTTACTAGAATATTTGAACCTTTAATCGAAGATTATTTGTCAGCGGTGGCCTGTTGGTCTAGGGGCATGATTCTCGCTTTGGGTGCGAGAGGTCCCGGGTTCGACTCCCGGACAGGCCCAAGCGCTAAAATTTTTATTTTGTTTATTTTTGTTTATTGACTTTTATTGCCGATTTCATTTGTGTGTAAACTCGAGGATAGGTCTTTAAACTAATTTAAACGTATTTCACATGAATTTGTAAGAAAATCATCTTTGCTTTGCAACCCGGAGGTAGATGCGACAAAGGGTTTAAAATGAAACAACTTTCTAAAAATTAAAGGCACGATTCGTTTTGCGATTATTAGTCAAATCGGAGCTGAGTTGCGATGTCTAACTTTATCCGAACGGGTTGCCATTGTGGAAGGTCACGTGACGTTCATGAGCGCCTTGAGACTTGACCAAAAGGCAAACCACATACCTATGACGTAACACTAAGAGATCCTATGTCTGATTGGCTGGTGAGAAGGCAGCACGAATAATTACCCCTACTGGCAACCAATCAGAGACTCTACATGGAGTTACCTCACCATTATTCGACCCGAACCTCAGACTTCCCGCTCGCGAAGGTTTGAATGAGTATGCGAAACAAAAACGGGTAAAACAATGTGGAGTCAGGGCTCAAAATAATTTTCGGAACGTGGCCGCTCATGTTGACCGGTCAAATTAATTTTAGTTCGGTCACATCTCGGTTCTGACCGGTGGAGATAATTAAGAAAAATTAAAATAATGATGGCCTATAAACCCAAAAATATAATTTGTTTGTTCCAGTCGTTGCTAGATCATTTAAAAAGTGGCTTAATACAATGAACGGCTTAAAACTTAACCAAAGAAAGCCCTGGCAGGGCTCAGCGGCTCAGTGAATTGGCACGCTGTCAGTGGAATCCTTTCTATCTAGTTTTGGATGCGTATCTCTATTTTTTAAAAAGGTTACAAAAAAGTACTCTATTCCAATCCAGAGTTCGGACCAGTCCATTTGTTGGTGTCTTATTTTGATTTTTCTTTGAACGCATCCTAAGTCCTTGTTTTTTTCATTCATTTTAATCCGGGGATATTATATGCAGAGTATTTCAATGAAAGAGGTTATTACTTCAAAATTTCAGTCTAATTCTCAAAACAGAGCTAGTTGGCCCGTTTATGTACGAATTGAGCTAATCAGCATACGTACAGGTAAGTCTTTCCCATTAAATCCCACAAAGGTATGGAGATCTGTGTTCTAGGTTACATTATTTTACTAAGAAGTGAAGTCATACAAGTTGCTACATAAGTAACTGTATAAATGCAATTTACACAGCTTCTTATTCTTCTTCACTATCTATATTCTGGAAATGAGAGCAAAAACGATAAATAGTTATTTACATAGTAAAAAACTTTTCACGACATACACAAACTTGATTTGTGCTACCATCAACGTCGGAACAAGAATCCATTATGTTAAGAAGAAACTTCATTTGTTGCAGTTGATATTCAAGGTTTCTTGTTTCTCTAGCGTGTGCTTTCTCTTTAATAGCACAATTATCCAGGGAGAATTCCAAGGCTGTGCTGAGAACATCTTTTTCGAACATTTTTCGTTCTAAATCTTTCATCAATTTCTCAATCACAACATCATTGTGGCTTAAACTATGATACGCCATGTCAAGTTCAGAAAGAGACAAGTTTTTCTTTTCTACTTGCTCTTGAAGTTCAGTCAACTTCTTATTGTTGTATGATATCTTAGAAAGCTCAGTTTCCAAAGAAGAATTTTCTCTCATTAGCTTAGCAACCTCTTCCTCAAGTTTGTCAATGACCCTGGCTTTTTGGTCATTTAGTTCCATCATCTCTTTAATCTTATCTGAGGTGACTGTGGCGTTTTCATTCTTTAGCTTTGCCAGCTGATCCTCGAGTTCGTCAATAACTCGCGACTTTTCTCCAAGTTCCTTCATCATTCTAACATTCTCTGAAATGACTCTGGCGTTTTCTTGTATCAACGTAGCTATCTGATCCCGAAGTTGGATATTACTCCTCGAATTTTGTTTCTTAAGTTCATTTCTCTCTTTATTCTTCTCTGAGACGATTCTGGCGTTTCTATTCTCAGACTGAGCTAGCTGGTCTTCAAGTTGGTCAATAACTTTTGACTTTGCGTCTTTTAGCTCATTAAGCTCTTTGTCTTTCTCTGACATGATTCTCGTGTTTTCGTTCAGGCATATATCTAGCTGAACCTCAAGCTGGTCTATGATACTAGATGTTTCATCCCGCAGCTTATTAAAGTCCAGCTCACAAGCTTTGAAGTGAGATGTTTCGGCTGTCAACGCGTCAACTTGAAAGCTTAACAGCTCTTCTTTGTGACGAAACAAATCTAGGTATCCTTTTAAGAGTTCTACTTCTTCACGTAAATGTCCGTAATCGGGTCGCTGATTCAATTCCTTTACCACGTCCTTAAGCCCGTCAATTTGCACGTTCAGCTGTTCATTGGCAGCCTGACTATCCTTCAGGCTCCCCTCCAAATATTCAATATCACCCAACAGCTCCTGTTTCTCAGCCAGGGCATTGTTCAAACTTAGCTCCTTTCTCTTCAAATCACGTTTCAAATTTCTCAATTCTCTTTCCTTGTAATGCTCGTTTACTCTTAGACTCTTTAAGTCTGTTCTCTTGGTTTTCAGCTCGGTCTGAAGAGTGTTGTTTTCATTCTGCAAACCTTTCAATTCTTTCTTCATGTCGCTGATCTGAACCAAGAGCGTTACATTTTCATAATTTGTTGTTTCAATAATCTCCTCCAAGGTTCTGATCTTTTGGTCTCCATCCTCAACCCACTGTTGAAGTTCCTCTTCTATTTCGGAATGTTCCTTTTCGAGCTGATCGAGTTTTCTCTTATGCTCCTCCTCGCAGTTGGTGGAGACTCCATTGCTACTTTCAAGCATGCTTTTTGCGTCAACCATCTTTGTTTCCAGCTTAGCCCGGAGAGTATTGTTTTCATTCTCCAAAGCTTTCAATCCCTTCTTCATGACGCTGATCTGCACCCAGAGCTTCACATTTTCTTCATTTGTATTTTCAATAATCTCCCCCAATGTTTTGTTTTCTTGGTCTCCGTCCTCAACCCATTGTTGAAGTTCCTCCTCTATTTCGGAATGTTCCTTTTCAAGCTGTTCAATTTCCTTCGTATGGTCCTCCTCACAACTGGTGGAGACCTGTTTGAAAAAATAAGGTTTGTAAATTAAAGAGAAGACAAACTGGCCCTGAAAAGACTAAAGAAATAGAAGGACTGCTCTTTGTGTAATATTTAAATAAATATTAACTGTATTTGCGTGGTTTTACAGAAATAAACCTGGCATAAAAAAAATCTTGTGCCAAGTTCCCAAAAAGGCCTGCAGAGTTTTCTTTTATTATTATTCTCTTTTAATAATTTTTTAAGAAAAGCGTCCCTATAATTTTTATGCAAAAGTTCTACCTGTGACGATGTCCTATTGTGCATGTTGTCTGACAATCTATCACACTAGAAAGTACATTCTTCATTTTATCGCATTCTTCAGGGCTTTATTTTTCCACTTCTTCTGATTATGAACTCTATGAAGGCTGAAATTATAAATGTGCCATTGCATGCCGTAATTGAGGGGGCAACATTAAATAAATAGATTATAATATTTAGATAGGAAGCCGCATCAGGTTTTTGTGGTGGGAGGGAAACCGGAGTACCCGGAAAAAACCCTCGGAGCAAGGTGAGAACACAACAACAAACTCAACCCACGTATAGCACCAGGTCAGAATCGAACATGGGGCACATTGGTGGGAGGTGAGCGATATCACCACGGCGTCAACCCACGCCCGATGAAATGCTTGTAAATATCATGGTGTAACTCATAACGTACCTCTCTAAAATGATTATAAGTTCTATGTGAAAACAACTAGCATATTTACCTGTTCGGTTTCTGATGGCGTGACTTGTTTCATTGGAGTTTTTTGTGTCACTGACAGTGTTGGTTCGTTGGTTTCTTCAGGACTGCTATGTTCAGTTGTGGTTGGACGTTTGTCAGTGGCATTATTAATACTTGCTGCTTGTTTCCCGCGGGTTTCGCGTAGATTTATACCTGTGGAGATTAACGATCAGTTTACTGCAACCCCTAAATAAACTAAGTACTGTAAGTAATAAAAAGACAAACATCATTCCACGTTAGCTTGCTAAATTATGCGAGAGGTAATGGGAAGGAGGTGCTTTTCTCGTCCCCATTACTCTCGCTTTTTTGTCCTTTCTTCGCTTTTCCCGCTCGCTGCTTTTTAGTTTCAGCTGAAGTTTACTCCTTATTTCTTGGAGTTTCTGTCAAAGTCTTTGTCCCATTTATACTTAAAAGTGTCATGTCGAGAACAGCTAAATATATCATGAGTGACTGAATTAAAACATTAAGCGGACTTACATGTAAAAAGGTAAAATCAGTAGCAAACTTCGTTCCGTAGTTTAATACTAGTTCGCCCGGAACGTTTGCCGCTTAGTCTAAAACTTAAACCAAAAGCTTTAAATACAATAAAAATGCTATCAATACCTGAGTCTCTTCCCAATGGTCTTTTTCCTGTGGCAGCTATCACACTGTTAGGGATTTTATCCCTGCCAACATCCCTGCTGTTTGTTCGACCGATCGCAATCGGAATCCGGGACGGCGGCTTGTTTTGACTTTTTTCCACGCGATTCCTCAAAATGCGCTGCTTCATATGAACTTCGTATTTAGACGAGGAACTTTTTCCGCTGTTGTTGTCCAAACGAGATAGCCTGCGGACTGGTATTCTGGATTTTTGCTGAACTGAAGAAAGGCGATTCTTCACACCCTCGCTACTAAGTCGACACGAAGCCATTTTTTGGACGCAGCACTTGAACTACAACTTTCTTCAAACTTTTCCTGTGCTTTGTTGTTTGGTTTTGTTCTGTTTTGGAAGTTTTCTCTTCAGTTTGACTGTGAAAAATATCACAACTCTCTTGCTCCGAATCTCAATGTTGACCGCACCGATAGCTGAAGCAAATGATTGAGTTTTGCCACAAATCCATGAAACCGTCTTCGATCGTTTCGTAATAAACAACCATACTTAGGTCGTACATGCTCGATTGCACGCGCAAAGAAATCTAGCACTTGTAAGCCCCTGGTTTTAGAATGATTTCAACATATTTTAAATTTATGAAATCAAATAGCAAGTTTTAGTTGCGAAGAATAAATGGAAAATTTGTGAATTTGCTGAAGAATAGAGAAACTACAACTTTGTATTCAGCCCAAAATGAAGATTAAAATTCACAAACTCACCTCTCAAAAGACGCGATGCTGTGTAGACATTCACATTGTCTTAACTTCAGTTCATGCATGCTAAACAGCAGTGTGTAAATGATTGAATTTGTAATCTTGATCATCTCGGCAGTTCTTCTTGAAGACTAGTGGAAAGTACGAATTGAACAAACCCTACGTTGGTGGGTGTGAAATGGCATTTGCTTCAGCCGAAGACTACTACCAGCTATCGAAGCGAAGGGAAGTTCTTGGCCAAATTCATTCAAGTTTTGCGGGCCATTAGTAACACCTTCGAAAAACTCCTCTGACATTTCAGAGACGAAAATTGTTTTTTAAGACTTTAGCTCCTACTTCAGCCCAATTCAATGCAACTGGACACGAAGTAACTGTAGTTAAAATTCCAAACCCTTTCAAACTTTGCTATCCCTATTTTCAAGCCAACTCAGTGCCATGTAACTCATGTAACGGGCAAACAGCCAATCAGGAGCAAGTAGTATAGTTTGCTGTGAAACCGAATCTGCAGAGGCAAAAAACAAATCCAACTTTTTATTTGTTTTACCGAGGGAATGGGGGAAAGGGTTTCAAATTGAAGACTTTCAAAAATATACTTTTACAGTTTGGTCTGTTAATCAGTAGGTTTAACGAGTCACTTGGTTCCAAAGCTGCTCTTAGCTTCAATAAGTTGAGTTCGTTTGCTGAATTAGCGGATGTGTATCTTTATGCTGGTCATGTACTACATATCCCTCTCAAAAAGTTTTAAAGCTCTTTAAAACGTCGCCACGTCATCGAATTTGCATTAAAATTTTAGCCAGGATCCTCGGTAGTACAGTGGTGAGTATCCCCGCCTGTCACGCGGGAGACCGGGGTTCGATTCCCCGCCGGGGAGGCTTTTAAATTTCTAGTTAGTTAAATCAGATCATTTATCATTTTCTTTCCACATATTTTTTTAAACTTTTTTTGGGACCCGAAAAAACTAGTTTGTTAAACAGGAAATACTTTTACAACGAGGAAGCAATACAGACATCGATTGCCAGTCAGGCCTCTCGAATGACTCGCCAAAAATGTCTCCCTAGAATTCATGGGCGCTTTCCAGTCAACCGAAAATTATGAAAATTTCGAGTCGGAAACAAATGGCACGGAAATTTCCCGGGAAAGTTCCAGAAAATCTGGAAATTATAGAATTTCCGAAAAACAAACCTTTCAACCGAAAATTCTGGAAGTTCCGCAAAGAAAATCAAACACGGAAATCTCCGACAGTAAGTTTCCGAAAACTTGGATATATCTTGCGAGGTTATCCTCTTTTCCGTAAATTCCGCAAAATGCAGTTCCATTCGTCACTAGAAATTTCCGCAAATTCAAAGCGGAATTTTTGGTCGAAAGGAAAGCGCCCCACGTTTATAGTCGAAGTCGCGCCTCTTGAATTAAATATTCTTTAAACAAGTCGCCCAGATAATAGGTTTAATGGTGATTGAAAGAAGTCAATATGTTTCATGCTTAATGCGCGAGAAAAATATTGACGCTTGGTTTTATCCTCTCTTTTTCAGGAAAAATTCAAAGCACTGAGGGGACCCATGATATCTTACTGATTTTCCTCTATGGCGCGGCCTGCGGGGCTGGTGCCCTCATCTTAATCATTTTACTTCTGTCGACTGTGAGCTGTTGTTTAAAGAAACAAAGAAGGAAAAAATCACATGGTGAAAGGATGGAAACAACACAAGAAACAGGAGATTATACCACAACTGCGTGCAATCTACTAGACGAGACACAAACCGAAGCTCGACATGAAGTACCAGTTTACGACCATCCTCACACACTTGAGGAAGGCAGCGGTCAAACTTTAATGCGACCGCCATATTTGGCAGATGCTGGAAGAGACAACGACGCTGAGGATTTAGAAGATGCCGAGCCGTTTCGAAGAAGCCATCAAGATCTCAAGAAACCATTAAAACTGCAAAAACATCCGGTGAATGGAAACAGCAAGAACGAAGAGAGAATATACATGCATCTTATTCCAGAAACCAGACAAGGAAATGAAACGTCTAACTTAACAACAAAGTCGGCCAAACGTTCAAGACGAAAAGAGAAGGAAACTTGTACCACTAAGCCGGGAATTTCTGTGAAATTACGAGAAACAAACAAACCGACAAGCACACGGACGGATGTGCGTCCATCTTCTGCAGCTTATGTTAATGGTCACCTGGGCAAATTATACTCTAACGTTCCTTAAAGAACTGAGGGTAGCTTCTCGCGCTGCTATTTGTCGTTTTCTTGCTACCACGAGGATCGCAATCGGTCCGATTCAGCTTTGTCCGCAGTTCGTCAGCCGGGGAGGCCTGGTCAGGAAGGGGAGGGAAACAGGAATGACGGGGAACAGGAAGGGGGCGGGTAACAGGGGGACGCGCGTAACACGGAGGGCGGGGAACAAGAGGGGGTGGGAAACAAGAAGGAGGGGTAATAGGAGGGTGCGGGTAACAGGGAGGGAGGGGAACCGGAAGCGGCGTGTAACAGGGAGGACGGGGAACAGGAGGGCGCAGGTAACGGGGAGGGAGGGGAACAGGAAGCGGCGGGCAACAAGGAGGACGGAGCTCGATGATTACGAGACGAAACCCGGTCTCTTTTGTAAGAACAACGATCACCGCGCTCAAGCCAAAGAGGGAAAAATTAGGTCCACATATCAGAGCGTGTAAAACGGGAAGTGTGTGAAAAGAAGCATGAATCAGGAATAACCCAACTGTCAATATCATCCCCAGCAAAAATTTGAGACGATTTTCGAAATTTCCGCCGTTTTCTTTTGGCCACGTGTAGTTGTCTGAGGTGAAGTTGATGCGCGCAATTTGAGAAACATCCATGCTTTGCAAAAACGTGTCCTACAACTATTCCTCTCTTCGTTTCAGCAGGCCCTATTTAAGCGGCGTTTACTGTTGGACATTTCTTGAGCTGTTATTGAACAGTTGTAGAATCACTTGAGTGGCTCCTATTTTCTTCATGAATTTCGAAACTAAATTTAGCTACCGTGTGGCACTAAATTTTTGCGGGAGTTTATTTTTGCGAATCGGTGATATTTTTGTATTTTGCGATTGTAAAAGACCGGTTTTTCTTGCTGGGTACTAATTTTTGCAATTTTCCAGAAGTCACGTTTAATTGAAATTAGTAAAACAACATGTAGAGATGTTAAACACAGTATTCCAGTCAGTGAATCGGTGTCACTCTATCACTATTAAGCTATACATCGTGTTCTTGTGTGGCTGATTGCTCCGGCAATGTATCAGCAATAACATTTCATCGTTTTGTTTCTGTTTTGAATGTTTTTGCCAGTGGAGAGTAAATTTTTGTGGAGAAAATTTTTGCAGGAATGTGTTTTTTTTTTTTTTTTTGCAGAAACTTTTTTTGGGGGATGGTGGAAAAATCCGGCCGCAAAAATTTAGTGCCATATTCGCTAAAAGTTTTAACGTCTGGTCTTTCGGACTCGCGGCCGAATAATTTTGTTAATAATCACCAGTACACTCTTTTTTTAAAAGAGTATATTTTATAAGAATATCGAGGCTGGAACTTGCGAAATTTTAAGAATATTTTAAGAACAAGCCTGAGGATGAGATTCTGAAAAGAATGTAATTCTGTGGGTTGAAAATTTGTAAATACATTACAATTATATGCTTTTAAGCAAACCGTATAAAAGTCTTCCTTTCTTTTTTTAGCAAAACTAGTCAAAAAACAACAACAACAAAAAACAGCACTAGCTGTATCTTCGATGTCAATAGCATTTCTGCAAGAAGTTATGTTTGTCACATCAGGTTCTATTGCCTGCAGTCTGGCTCCAAAATTACCGGCTTCAGTGCCATCAAAGTCATAGGTAGGACAGACAATCTGACGTTGTGTCGGCATATGGTCCACTTCTATTCCTGAAATCTAAGAATATTAACGCGGACATTTTCAACCTATAATATCAGAAAAAAATAAGTACATTCAGCCTGGGTCGGAAAAACAATATTCTTATCAGAAAAAGAGAGTGTATGATACAAGCCGGATATGACTCTACTAAGTATTAACGTGGCATTCGATCCGGAGCCGCCCATGCAGGGCCAATACCTGATGTGTTCACTTATTCATGTGATATCACACTTATAAAATACCCGGTCGGTCCTTTCCTGAGTCTGAGACTGCTCATTTACAACGGCAAGATTTGCATTGGCAGTCACCCTAATATATATATAAATTAAAAGGCTTTCAAAAAGAATGTATGTCGGTAGTCTTAAATAAAACTGGTAGTAACAGGAGTCACAATCCGGTCCCTGATTATTCTTCCTGACCGGTAACAAAACCAGTTATAGGTGAAAGAATCCTGTATGATAAGAATTTATCTACTTGTAATCAGTTTGTTCATTGATATTTTCTTTTCACTTATTACGTTATTCAACTTTTAGAACTTATAATCTAAGAATTCCTTTTCCCTATTTTAGTACAGCTGTTTTTGTATGGAGCGGTTTTCATTCAAGTGTCGAAAAGTAATTGGTTTTGCATGCTTACGTTACTCGATTGGCTTTAGACTCCGCCACTTTTTCATCCAATCAGAAGAAAAACCAAAACCGACCATGACTCGCTCACACATGTTTTCCCGCGCTTTGCATCAGCTACAGCGCAGCATGGATATTAGAAGTCCCTTCTACTATTCAAACCAACGGGATTGTCTATGTGGTTTGTGATTGGTTAGAGTGATTACTTTGGCTCTAGTTTGAAAGCAGACAATTGAAAACCACTCTGAATAACGAAACAAGTACTAGTTATATCTATTATCGCAAAGGCCCCCCCCCCCCCCCGGAGCAGACTGAGGAACAAGTCTCTTCATTCTTTCTTAAAACACTGGATAGCAGGTGACAACAATTACACCCTAATCCTAACTATAAACTACTGTTTACAATGATGATTTTGCTGGAGGTGCTATTTCTGTAAAATATTTTAAATAATAATAAAGTCTCCAAGTTTTGCTTGATTTAGGATTCATATTCATGCATGTATAACGTTATTTACAAAGTAAGTAGAACAATTATTTGTTAATTTGTCTGGTCATGTTTAATTGTTGTTTTGCACGAAGGGCCCTTTAAGGATCTTTCACGGGCCAAGAAATAACTGCAGAAAAACAACAACCGGACTTTGCAACAATAATGTTCATGTGAAAGGTAAATTGATCAACATAACACGAGCTTCGGACAAAGAATATCTCTTTTCTTGTTGTATAAATTGTACTTCGTATTTTCCTTTTGAAGAAGCGATATTTTTTCAATTGTGCCGCGCGCAAAAATATCTCGAACCCAGACTTGTCATAACAACTGAGAACACCAACTGGCAGCACGTCAATACTAGATTTCAACGAAAAAAAAATTGATGGAGTGGGTTTCCAATCGTCAATGTCGTTTGGTAAGACTTTTTCTTCACAATAATTACTTGCAGTGACTTGCAGTGGAAAAGCAACAAAAAGGACCAGTTCTGTAAATACCCCTCATGCCCAAGATCAATAAGCCGTTTGAGGCTTCGAATGGGACCTGGGTCACAGCCGATAAAGTACTGGCGTTTCCTTTGTACCCGTTTATTTGAATTAGTTCTGATTTAGCGAAGATGGACACGAGGAAATTATTCCCGAGTTGAAAAATAACTTAAAACAACAATTTTAAGTGCACGATTAACCGAATGCACAGTGTAACAGCTAAAATCCTCACAACTTTCTCAAAGACGAATCTAGTCCTTATTTTACCAGGAAAAAAAGACTTTATCATTTTCATTTGTCTTGCGGGTTGTATTTCGTTCGCGCGCACCCAACAATCTTTCTCTTAATGACGCAATTTCAAAAAAATATATTTTCGATTCCAATCCGCCAAACCCGTAATGGTTCAGGAAACTTCCATCGCAAAAACTTAGATCAGTCCGTTTCTTGACGACCTCTTGAGCTCGTTGTACGCCGGAAGATTTTAATGACCAACCCGAACAAGAGAATGGCTCTCTTCAACACAGCCTGCTATACTGCTGCGTAGTGAAAGTATATTGCGAGATCCGGTCAGTGTAAAACGAAGACTGCAGACCCTCCTCTCTCCTCTCTCCTTTCTTCCCGCTTTCTCCTTGCAGAGCTATTTGCAGATAGACCGCGCACCGATCTTACCGAGCGCAAACTCGTTACCAGTCTCTCTCTTCTCGAAGAGACTGTGGAAACGAGGCTGAAGTTGGAGCAGTGTGGCGAAGTCTATACACTTTGGGGCACACTTTGTAAAATGTCCTACGCTTAACAAGATAAGTCAGAATAAACATTTGTGTTAACTTTCATCGATAATTAGTTGGACAATTGTAAAGACAGAAATGTTGTCTTGTAACAAACCACGAAGTTTATATTAAATAAATGATTTTCAAGGATAAACATCGGAATGGAGTTTTAATTTTTTTTTTTCAATGTTAAATCATCATTACAAAAATTAACTTGAAGAAATAAACTAAGAGGTCGATTTTAAAACTATCGAGAAGAAAAAAAAAAGATTCCATACTCCCCGGCGGGGAATCGAACCCCGGTCTCCCGCGTGACAGGCGGGGATACTCACCACTATACTACCGAGGAAGTAGTTATCACAATTTGTCATATTAGCGTTTCTTATTGTTTTAAGTTTCAGTTCAGGGTGACGCTTCCTGTTTCAGCAGGAAATTTCCGCTACACAGCTGTAAATTATGAATACAAAAATAGCTATCATCTTAACTTTTCAGTTCTCTTACTTTCATGTTTAAACTGTTTGCAGCGCATAAGCGTTGCAATCTGGTCCACGATTCTCCTCGGAATCTTTACTGTGAAGACGGTTTTTACTTCGACCTATTCGCTTTTCCCAAGAAGAGGGGGTTTGGGACAAGAACTCATTCCCAAAGAGTAGAAATTCTGAAAATTTCATTTAACGCAAACCTGGCAGCCATAAGTTATGTGGAAACCCTCTGATATGAAGCACGCACAATCACTTCACCCAGCAGTCGTTCATCAATAAGAAATGTCAAAACTAAGCCGCATTTTATAAGCTCTGATTTTTTTTTTTTCTACAAAAGAAAACTACTTTCTGAAATTATTGAAGACTGCTCTAGTCAGTGAAGACCGAAACTGGTTTTCGCCGAGATCCTCAAGATTCGCCAAAGGAGCGAGATTATATTCAACTCCCAGAAAGTTAAAAGTTTCCGAGGATCGAACTGGTGGCAAAGTCGCTTTTTTTCTCACTAAGGGACAGATCATTACTTTTTTGAGACGGGGGGTGGGGGGGTGGGGTGGTTGGGCAATTTTCTGAGGCATGAAGTTTGTTTCTCATCTTTTGGTTGTGCGTGATTTTTTTTGGTGGAAAATAGCTTGTGCAAGAATTGTTTTTTACATGTAAATCAAACGCAGGACCCGGATTGTAGAAAAACACTTGCTCGTTTTTTTCCCATGGCTTCCCTTGCACCAATTTTTTTTCAACAGTTTTTGCTGTGCAGGAATTTTTTTTTTTGGAAATTGCAGTTAGCTTTTGTTGTAAAGGACCAAATAATATAATCTGTCTAACTGCAAGCAAACATAAGTAAAACTAACCGCAATTAAACAACACACTTGGCGTTCGGAGTTCTGCATGAGGTGTCCTGCAAAATACCTCTGCCAACCAAGAAACGTCACGCACATAACTAGCTTGAAAATACTTTATATTTCACCTGGCCTGCCTTACAGACGGAAATTTAGCTGTAAATTATCCCGCGGTAGGTGGCGTCTCTGACGCAAGCTATATTTCACCCTCCCCATATCAGAGCCCCTGATATCCTACAATATTACGTCACAGATCCGATATGGCCGGACTTGTAACTGGACATGGGTCAACAAATGACCTAATCACACCTTTTTTGGTAGTTTTCGGCGGCACATCAGATCGACTCGTTTAGTCTCCAAAATACGAACCATCGCTCGCCTAAAGTGGCCCAAGATACGATTAAGTATTACACCGCCTTCGTTCATTTGTTTAGTCATTTATTGTAATCGTTCAAATTCGCCTAATGTAACTACTTGTCATTGACTATCAGGATAATGAGACATGAAATTAAAAAACCCAATAGCCACAAAGAAGTAAAAAGAATTGTTCGCCCACTTCTGTTTTTTTCCTTGGCATTTTTATTTCCTAGTTCGAGCTAGAAATTCTTCTTCCAATCTACTAAGTGTACACTACACTACACTTCTTTTAATCCGGAGAATGTTAAGGTAGATCACCAACACTAGAGGTGTGTGTGTGTGTGTGGTGGGGAGGGGGGGAGAGGAGAGAGGGATTAAGGTTGTTATCCGCTGGATAGCGTCATTCATCCTTTCAACAAATGGGACTTCCTCACTGGCTTTCACTGGAATGGTCACATTATAGAGATTCATTCTCATGATGTAAATTTTAAGCCACCTTGAACTGTCCAATAGCTTTCATTTGAATGGTCACACACTTGGGTTTCAGTTTATATACAGACTTGAATTTAGACCCACATAAATCCAAGCTTGGTTTGACTCATTTACTCCCCTCCGGTAATTAACTAAGGTTGCTAGGTAACTCCCCATTAGCTCACGAGACAACTTCCGGTCGAACTGTCTTCTGATTGGTCACAACGAGTCAGAAACTTTTCAAGTACTTAAACGACACTTAGTGACAGAACGTTCTTTTCCACTAAGGGTACCTAATAAAATGCTAAGCAGAAAAGTAAAATTTGATTCATTGCTACAGATAAATAAATGATCATAGTTCGCTGTATCGGGGTGACATTAAATCTGATACAAAGTTTGTAAGAAGTGGTGACGTGCCTCTGAACAAGAATCCAAAAGCTTGTTGGGTCTGGAAAGAAAACAAAAAACTGCTATTAAAACGTCACTCAAATCACTATGTCCAATCACAGTAAACACAAATAACATAACGGACCAATAAGAACCCAAAGCAAAACCATGCCACCATTGCCAAACGCCGGAAAACATGTAACCTGGGTTGCTTACTATTTGTCAGAATAAACCGGTTGAGATGACCGTTGAATAATGGTAAGGGTTTTTCTGAAATCAGCAAACCAACCGAACGAGATGACGCTTACCGTTTGCAATTTGATTTCTCGTAATTGTTTTAGGCTGATGAGAGACTGAAAACTGGAAAATTAAGCAAATGGCAAGGAAATTTCCGCCGCTCTGTTCTGAATGGAAAAAGAGGACTACCTCTGGAGGTAGTCTATAATTTCCAAACGGATTTTCCGGAAAATTACTGTTCCAATTGGCTTTTTAACCGAAATTTCAGGATCAGTTTTTTTGGGTGAATGGTAAGCACCCCTGCTAAGGGCGAAAAAACATGCAACCGGTATTTCGCCCGGGAAATAAACATATACTAAGCTCTAAGCGCGGGAAAACGCGGCAAGCCAAGCCATGGATTCTTCCTGATTGGTTAATATGTTCTCTGATTTGCTGGGGCGGTGTATGAAGCAATTACGATTGTACCAAACATAAATGTCAATATACTTACTTTGAAATGAAGGCGACAAAAAATGATTTCAGGTGTCTCGGGAAATAAGGTTGTTTGACAGCATAATCCAAAGCCTTTAGAGGGCCAGAAATGTCTTTGGCAAACTCAATCTTTTCCTCACCCTACAAACATAAAAATAATATCAACAAAGTAAGATTTCTCTTCATAGCAAATGTACGTTTGAAATTGGTTTTCATTAACAGTACCTCTGTCAGAATACAGTTCTTTTTCAAGAGCTTGCCCAATAGCGACGGAACTCTTCGCTTGGGATAAAAATACCGTTGGGGGATCCATGTAAGCTCTCCCTCTTCTACTCTCCCGTTTCCCCCCTCCCCAATTCTTTCCTGAGACTTGCCACCTTTCAATGAAACAAACAGTTTGGTTCAAGTACCTTGAGAAGTCCCATATGAATTAACAGGGAAGAGATAAGTCCCTCTTCTTTACAGTCAGCTGATTCAAGAGCAGGCTTCAAAATAGTGTCTGAAACAAGATAGTGTTGAAGTCATTACAAGGTATTACAGTCCGGCAAAGGAGTAACGTTTTTGATGGAACTCGCAACTTTGAGATTGAGTTGAGAGCGGAGAGGCGAAAGCTGTAGAGAAAGAAAAGCTACAGATGAGGGAAACACTGGTAATTTGAGCAGAGGTAATCGTATGAATGATAGTGCAATGAAGGATTTATGTTACAGGCGCCATTTGAAAATTCTCTCAAAATTGTACGAGCCTTGAGGCGAGTGCACTTTGAAAGAATTTTCGAATATCACGGGTAGCGTAAATCCTTGATTGCTTGAGTTTTCATATAATTACTCATTTTTTATATGACGGAGGCAAACTCGTCCGCATTAATTTGCACTAGTGCATTGCAAATTGACTTAACGATAAATTGGCTGCTGTCAGCTAATCACATTCACAATGAAGTACTTTCTCAGTCATATTAAATAAAACAGTAATATAACGGATCTTTGATTCAAAAGTAACCTGCACATTCCATGAGTGCATCTTTATTATCTTTGAGCGCCACGCAAGTCTGAAAGAAAGAAAGAAAATATCGTAAAAGAACTGTGACGCTTAAGGTAAATCTTTTAAACTAAATCTCAGAAAGTTGTTGAGTAACTGAGAAAAGTTGTTCGAAGTCCGCCTTGTTAAACTTCAAGTTGATAAATAGCTAAATGTTTCACTTTTCCACCGTTTTCTGTAGAAACTAATACCTTTGTTATTTCTGTAAGTGTTGCAATGGATACTCACCGATACAAAACATTTCGCAATTTTATTAGTGTCTTGCAAGTCATCCTGTTAAAATACAAAGCAGAACACAGTCAACTGCAATAAGAACGTACAAAACATAGCATTCACAACTGACCACATTTGGCGAATCAAATAACGCAGAGAATCAATCCTAACTTGACGCACAATCATGTATTCACTGCCAAGCGCGGGAAAACATGTAACTGGAGTCAATCGCGAGAAAACATGAAATCAATGGTATTATATGTGCGGAAAGACATGTAACCAGTGCCAAGCGCAGGAAAACATTTAACCAGAGTTAAACGCTGGAAAACAAGAAAATGGTGCCAAGCGCTGGAAAACATTTAACCATGCCAGAACCTGCGCCGGATTCTTTCTTCTTGGCCTCCGCGAACTAAAACAACATCTGATCGCAGGCTATTTCGGGATTAACAAACAAAGCAATTATCCAATATGAAAATACCAAATACCACATTGCGGCCATATTTACACACCTTAAAATACTCCGCTAATAATGATCTCCTTTGTGAGCTTGGAATATTTTTGAATTTTTCCAAAGACGGCGAGTTGACAAAATCTTGAACAACTTCCATGCTCACCACCTTTAAAAGACCAAATCCATAAGTAAACAGAAAAACAAGCAAATAAATAAATAAATAAATAAATAAATAACACCATTTTTGAGCACAAAAAACAAAGAGATATCGAGAGATAATTCTCGGCAAAATGATTTTTCTTTTAGTAACAACTAGTGCCAAGGTCACACCAAAGGCATAGGTTGTATTTAGAGGTTCACAACGGTTTTCTACATTTTTCAATTTTTTTTTTTTTTTTTGATGGCTCAGTACTAGCACCTTTTTTTTAAGTTGATGTTGTAACAATGGCATCAAACAAATGCCTAATTATTGCTAAACAAGTTATGGCCATATATTCTAACTCCGCTCCATCGTAACCCGCTCGCTCAGAGGCGAACGAGAAACCCAGACACACGAGTCTGCTCGCAAGCTAGATTCTACTGTTGTTATTCTTGTTGTTTTTTTACTTATCCTCAAACTATTTAACAAGGTCATCAGAGGAAAAAATTTTCGCGTTCGCAGCAGGTAAGAATCTTCTCAAATTCTCACAGAATCGGCTAATAGTAAATAACAAATACTGGATTTTTGTTGTTCACAAGAAAAATTGATTCCAAATCTCTAACGCCATTTTTGAATCGCCTTGTCAAATACTTTGATCAGTATTTTCAATTCGTTTGGAATTGTTATATGTTTTCCATTTTGCAGTGTAAACAAGATTCCAAAGATTGAAGTAGTTGCAGTGGAAAAGACGATATGTAAGCAGCTCTCCGCTCGTTTGAACCCTTGGGGATTTGGTAGTGGGACAATGGGAAGAAGAACCTTCTTTCTCCTCTGAATTTATTTTGATGTTTTCCTACAGCCCCTATGAACTGGGGGACAAATTAAGAACAACATTTTAAAAGAAGTAGTCGCGTGGTAATAGGCTGTTGTTTACAGCCGGAAATCTGTCTGAGTTTTCAGGCTCACTATCAGCCATAAGCTTTTCACCAATTAATAAACCATGTTGGTCGGAAAAAAAA